AAAGAGGCCACCAGCAAACCAAGATATATAGGTACTCCCTTGCTAGGCCAGGTCAGGAGTAGAGTAGTGACCCGCCAAACCGAAACAATCAGAGGCCACGCAATTGCCAGTCGCAGGCAGCCGGCACCCACCAAGAAATATAAGTCTTAGCGATGACTTGGACCTCGCTATCTGTCCTGAAGCAAAACTCGACCCAAGCATCACTACCGCCGGGACCGACCCCAGAGCCTGATGTGGCCGCGTTTGTTAAGCCAGTCCCAACACATTTGCCTAATGTCAGGCCAGGGCACTTCAGGGTAGGCGTAGCAGTTGCCATCAGCCCGCACCTCGCGTATCTCGTTGCCCCTAAACCATACGGCACCCGCGTGCCAAATCCCGCCGAAATTCGTGTGGGTGACTCGGAAGTAGTCGTCCGCCATGACGGTGGCCGCCTGGAAGGTTGCTGCTCCAGCCACGAGAGGGCTCCGAGGTTGAGCTTCATGGTGGAAAGAGAGTCTATGCGGATTCCTAGGTACCAGGTAGGGTATCATCAGCATTGGTCTGATGGACTACGATGGTGGCGACATGCACAAGTTTAACGTGCGAGGAAGCAATCACTTGATCAGGTCTTTGCGTGTCTGGATTCGGACTGAGAACCAGCTTCAATGCGGTTGATAAAAGCTGGGTGTTGCTGCTGGCTGCTCAAGTTGCAAGATGAGAGCATGAAGAGAGAAGTCCTGGTTTTTCATTGGGAAACTGGGCCCCTTTTATGGTCCATCCAGCTATTCATAATCACCTCCACAAGACAATCGCTGCCCTCGGTCCTTTGTAGCCACTGCCCATGGATCACATATAAAGCTGTGAGGACTAGAATTAGAAGAGCATTTACACAACAACTATTGCGGTTGCTAAAGTCAAAATATTAGTATTGTATTTGTATGATTCCCTTCTCCTCTCTCAAACGCTCAAAACTCTCCCCAATGACTTGATGTATGAGGAACTCTGTGATCTATATGCTCAAATAACGACTACCCTACTGCTCAAAGGCAGCCTCCAACTATCTTATGACTAAGCTCTACAAATTAAACTTACATATACACACGCAACCTAACTTTCAGCTCTTTCCTTCTTCATAGCCGTAATTATTATCATTACCCTCCCTCTAAGCAAGACCATAGACAGCAAAGCAATCATCCATTATTATTATCGCAAAGCCTAGATCTGGAAGGCATTTCTTAACCAGCCGTTTACGGGGCTTCCGGCTAGTGTCGTACGATACCTCTCTCAGGGTTCCTTTGCCCATTTGGCATTCGCAGTTCGGATCAGAATTTCCAGTAGTTACATCGATAGTAGCTGGGCTACTTGCAAGTCTCCTATCGTCAGCGCTTCAAGCAGGTGTGGATACCTGGAGTTTAAAGCATTACGAGGCTTAGTATACTTGGTCGGCGCCTTTTACCAATAGATGAGAAGACTGTAATAGTAAAAGTATCCGTAGATCGTTTAAGGTGGCAGGGGTACTAATGCTGCGCCTATGTCTGAACTTCTCACGCGAATGCAATTTATGACTCTGGTCGGTCAGAGTGCTGCTCGTCAGGATCTTGAATTTGACTGCTTCGCGCCGATTAAGGGCTCCTGCGGCCTGTGTTCCTCGTCTGCGTTGGGTCAGTTGGATTTGATGATATCTTACAAGAAGGGACCTCTTCTAGGGTTTAATCTTAATACGAACGACAGCTATTGAACTAAAAAGTAGATGATGACAAACATCGGTGATATCACACAGCTATCGACATTTCAATTTGAATACGAACTCAACCTGTCCATCTTTCAGGTCCTCAACTCTCATTCGACGCATCATCATCTTTCAACTTGCAATCGCCTTCTACCGGCCATGTTCGACTCCAAACTTCATCACAAGCCAGAAGAATTGCCTCCAACCCATACCTCTCCTTAAGTGGCACCAGAACACGCAAGACCATCTTGCCAAAGAGGCGGCCGGGGCGAGCAAGAGCTCGGCTTAAATGTCTTTCGACATGTTTTGGACTCGGCTTTGTTCTAAGCCTACGTATGGCCATAAGTCCAGGATACGGTCACTCCTGTATCTCTATGCCAAAATGGTCGCCAGGGTAAGGAACATAGATTGTTGCATATAGTCGCCAGGTGTTGGAACGGCCGCTGTTGTACATGCAATACTGCGCCTAGTTACCTTCCCGTCCTTGTCTCCTGGTGTCTCTATTTGAATGATTACTGAAAGGAGGTCAAAGATATAGAACGCGAAACAGGACGCTTTTGGTTTTGAACCTGACCTATGTTGCTTTCTTAACCTTTCCGGCTAACATACCCCAGCTATTGGCAGACAAATGAATAAACACCGAGTTTCCATGATGTAATAAGTACGTCGTTTGTATCATTTGGAAGCCGAGAATATTGCGTGAGTAAAACACTGGACTATGTACCTGCAAGTCTGAAGAGAAACAAGTCACTCAAGTACGTGTAACCAATTCTCCAGCAACCCTCCTGAGTCCTGCCAGTTGTAGATACCTCCATACCAAACACTACACTGCACAGCATGGAACCACCCTTCCAACTCAGCTCTGTTCATCCTTATCCATTCATAGTCATTTCATGATTTGACTTTACATACCAGCCATGCCAGCCATCTGTCCTGGAATCTCTTTCACCCCTATTTGCAAGATATTAATAACGCCCAAACTTTGTGTAGACAGAAAGAATACTTACATCCGGCACTGTCCTCTTTAACAGCAGGCTTAACGGTGCACTTGTTAGCCGCGGGGAACGCTTGCGTCGTAAGGCCCTTGCAGGTGGGACCGAAGCAGGCGTTGTCCATGGCGCGCTGGAGGGTATCGTCCTTCCAGCCGAAGACGTAGTCGCCGTGTTGTCCGTAGCCGGTGCTGCTCGCACAAGATTCGTCAGATTAGACAGGGTAGAGTTAGACTAGTATGGTCAGAGACTTACGTATCACCGTTACTCAGAACCAAAGGCTGCGAGCCATCGGTTGGCCAGTCCGCTTTGGTGATCTTGGTGGTGTCCCAGACGATCTAATCACCAATATCATCATTAATACACGCTTTCCAAAGAACTGTGAAGAGTAGAACTTACCTCCAAGTGAACCTGTGGGATCTTGACCGGGTGCGTGGACGGGCACTTGCCGTTGGTGACGGCAAATGAGGCCGGGCCGCCGACCGGGTGAGCGACGTGGTCGATGTGGTTGGGGCTGTCCAGGTTCTTGCCGTCCCAGCAGCTGTACACAGTCAATACTCCTACTTGTCTCTGACGGCGACAGCAAACTCACAGTGGGAATATCACGCTGGATCGGATACCGCCGGGGCACGGCGTGGTCGGGAATCCCTCGGTGTCGAGCTTGGGGTCGAAGCACGGAGAGTAGGTGTTTCCCTGGAAGTTGGGGCCGGTGAAGCAGCGGTAGCAACTCTGCGTGGCCTTCATGCCGAGACCGCTCGGCGTGCGTCGGTTGGGGTCGCCGGAGAACATGCGGAATCCCTGTACACCAGTATGAGCAAAATGACTGCCCTTTTTTGAGACGAGGGGGCAAAGACTTACCGGTTTGAAAGCAGTGACCTGCTTTGCTCCAGGGGAGGTGTAATAGACGGTAATGCCGCCGTTTGCGCCGTTGACCTGAGCATTGGCCATCGTCTCGACACGCTACATACCATCTATTGTCAGCTTCGTCCATGTGAAAGACCACCGGATGATCTCACCTTGTAGGTTCCGTTCCTGGCCTTGAAGTAGATGCTGGCGGTCCAGTAGTTGGAAAAGTCCTGGTCGAACTGGCAGCTGGTGCAGCTGGCGACACTGGCGATATTGGTCACCGGCATGGTCGCGTTGAAGGCATTCTAGCGAACAAAAACCAGTGAGCTTTGCCGTCTGATGATGGGCTGGGAGAAGAAGACTCACGCCTCCGACGACCTGGTGGACATGCGGCGATGGGATCTTTCCGGGATCAACGAGTCTAGACGAGAGGAAATATCAGCATGGTCTGCTAGCCACTGAACATAATCATGAGGAAGAACGTACGGATCAATCCGGTCGATAACTGTCTGCGAGCAACCAAACCGCAGCATGGCACCACCGCCACCGCCACCGCCACCACCGCCCTGCGGGATAGCACGTACGCCCGCCGCCGCCGTGAAGGCGAGAACGCTCAAAGAGGTGAGCATCGTGAGACTCTGTCGTTGTCAAAGTGCTGACTGTTATTCTGGAAGCCAAGATGTAGCCAAGAGACGGATGGATGGCCAAGTCGAGAGAAACAGGTAGCGAGTGGATCCTAGGCGTGCGGAGGACGACGACGAAGTATAAAACATCCCAAAAGGGGGTGACATGTCCATACCCCGGATGGACCAGCCCGCTTGGCATGAAAACAAGCTTATAAGTGCCGGCGACAAACATATTAATTTCACTGTGGGGTTGATGGGCCAAGATTATCCCGGCCTATCAGGGCCGGGTGACACTCTACTTTTAACATCCTCATCAGTTTTGCCGTCAATGTGTGCTGGAATTCCTCGGTACCCGGCAGCTGACTGGATTTAACGCGGATTACAGGTAGCCTATCGATCGTCAACGTAAATAGACTGGAAACCTGCCCGGGTGCACGTATCGTCAGGAGCTCATTGGTGATGAGAACGGAGGGTACTATCGATCAGCAAATCGGCGACTTGAATCGTCTTATCCAATGACTACCAGATCACTGATTGGGGTGTAGTATTGCCGCCGCTTTGATATTGCCATTCCGGCATAATATCCTAGTCCACCATGGAATGAAGTCATCGCCACATGCGCCATCAGCGACAGCCTTACTACTTCTACATACCAACCTAGGTAGATAGCTTGTTTCCCAAAGTCTTGGCTCGCAGTGTAAAAAGTGCGGGCGATCAGAAAAACAATGCATTCACCGTACCATCCTCCAAAATGAAGAATACTCAGTCAGTACCTCTCCCTAGGATCACGTCTGAAGTAAAAGAGAGAAGAACCTGACGACAGCAAAAATATGGATACACCCGGGATTGAACCGGGGACCTTTCACAGGGCGCGAATCTCGAGGACTATGCGAAGCGAAAATCATACCACTAGACCATGTACCCGCCTGACTCGTCAACGTAATGTTGTGGAGTTGTTGAATGGGAAGATGGGTTGGAAACAAAGCCTTTATTTGAGCTTTGAGTGGAGCCTGGTTCTGGCACCAAGACCACGCGTGACCAGCCATGAACTGTGAGTACCTAGGTAGTTGGGTTTAACGGATGGGATGAGCTATAGTACGCTCAGATGGCAAACAGTCCAAACAACGGTGTGAAGAACATTAATCAGCAGTCCATGTGTCCAGTGTTCGGTACACCACTTTCCTTACTCTTGTGCTCAAACATTGAGCACATTTAGCCATCACAAATGCTCGCAGACTGCATGTAATACATGTATGCAGGTGAGCAGCCCACGTTCAGCCGCAAACCTCACAAAAGAGTCTGCCCGGTGCCACATGCATCCAGAACAAATGTTTCCAGAAGTGTGATTTGATGCCTTCCCTTGTCGGGCTGACTCTGGCAGCCAACTACTGTTTCTCAACCAACCAGTGAGGGCTGTGTTATCTGGGAACTCCTGTGGGATGTGCATGCTTCCAGCCACAACCACGAACATCTAAATGGTTGGTGTGGATGCCGAATCCAGCAGAAACAATAAGATAGTCTCTCAGGACATTTCAGTGGGGTAGACGGTTTTATTTGGTCTCGATTGTATGCAGACAAATGTCTCGAGGTAGTATTTGTTGCGGCATTGCGTGAGAGCCTCGTTCCACATTCGGCGTTCAGTCTGCCTCGCGCAAGTGCAATATTTCGGGTCTAGATGGCAGACAGAGTGTGGTGGATGCGCAAGAAAGAAATTCATAAGTTCCGGTGTGTGTGCACGTTCTTGCTGGTAGTGACCCCTCGAATCTGAGTTCATATTTCGTCTTGAAGTGATCCTTTACCTAGACTGTTATCCCTCACTCAGATCTTTGTAATAGCAGATCTGGACCTACATCTTGCCGACAATGCGACAATCTCAATATTATACACCAGGCGTCGACGTCTGGGCTGACCAAGTTCTGGACGACGAGAACGACAACGAGGACGAGGATTACGGGACCACCAAGACCATGCCTTCTGGTCTCCTGACCCCCGCAACTACCCTGAGTGACTGTGCTCATTCCGAGACCTTCACACAGGCCGCCGTACGTGCCTGGGAGGCTCGCACACATGATGACCTCGAGGATACGACTAGTATCAAGTCTGGCGCGCCCAGTATCCCGCAGCGCACAATCAAGTCTCGCATTCCTGATGGCCTGGAGGAAATGATCAGGTCTCGCAGCTCCGTGACCAGTTCCCAGCAGCCCAGATCTCGAAGCCCATCGCCCTTACGAACCTCAGATTTTGACAGCGCACATCAACATGGCATGTCCACCACCGAATCAGCCCAATACCAAAAACTGAAGAAACAACTGGTCACCATCAGCATCATCCCCATCTTCGCGTTCATCGCCGTTGCCCTGATCGGGTGGTGGATGATTCCAGTTGACGGCGGAAAGCCGGGCCCCATCGACGCGTTCGTGGCATCGCAAGACGACTGGGTGCACGTCACCAACCTGGTGACGGAGTACGATCGCCTCCCGCTTGAAATCAAAGGAGGCGAGTCAAGGATGACCGATCTCATGATCTCGGTCAAGTATTCAGAACTGCCCGGCAAGGACCTCCTCGTTAAAGACATGCAGCAGTGCGTGACCGTCGCCGAGAGGGTTGTCGACAACCTGATCGATTGGAACAGTCTCGCTGGCGACACGGTCGACAGGATCCAGAACATGAACTACCACGCCCTGACGGCGTACCGTGGCCTGCAGAGCATGGCCTCTTGGGCGGTGATCCCAGCCCCTGCTGCGGGAGACATCGGCGTCATTGCCACCATCCAACACGTCGGACACGCCCTCTCGCTCGCCGTCGTGGGTGACAAAGAAAAGAAAGGGGAGATGTTGCAGAAGTTGTTCATCCAAGAAGCTGATCGGGCCAAAGATCAGCTCGCCGACCTGAAACTCAGCGGGACTGCGCTGGCGCACGATTTGAGTTTGTTGGCGTACCACCTGAAGAGCATCGCGACGACCGCGCGGGCGGAGCAAGCCCAGCTGAACGCTGAGATGCGGGAGCTGTTGTCCGGAATTTGGGGTTATTTGGGCTTCAACGACTATGCTGTGGCGAGTCTTGGGACACAGGCTGATATGCTGGCGTTGATGGCCGAGGCCACGATGCAGGGGAATGGGTATATAGGTGAGGTGATGGGCAAGATCCGCAAGATCGACAAGGACTTTACTAAGTTGTACAAGGCGCTTGAGGAGAGCAAGTGGAGTCAGGCCGGGACTATGTCGCTGAGGTTGGATAATATCCAGTCTGCTATTGATAAGTTGGATCATGCGAGACGGTCGTCGACGTCGAGGCTCCAGGGGCGACAGTATATGGCGCTCCGGCTGGAGATGTAGGTCAGGCTTGAGGTGATAAGTATCAGGGTGAGACTCGACTCAGCTATTACTTCGTCACGAATAGTTAGGGAATTTCTGTTTAGTCTAGTCTATAGTTGCAGAGAGCCTTTGTAGGAAGTGAGAGGTTAGGTTCATTTTGGTAGAAGTTGAGCACTGTATGGCCTGCGTCGATTTAGCACCCTAACTGCCTGGGCCCTGAGCACGGCAGCTGTATTTATTACTTGAGGCTGTTGTATGAGTGGAGAGGTTATGGAGAGTAAAATTTGAGGGCGCCTGCCTGCGTTTTTTTTTTTTTTTCAAGTGAGATTGTCTTGTCAAGCCTCCAGCAGCAGCTTCTCCTTCCCCCTCGGAAAGAGACATCAAAGGGGTTATTGACATATCCGTCATATTATTCACATTTTATATGTATTTAAAGAAAGGCGGCAAGGCAATAGTTATGTATATGAATGTCTCTGCACCATTCTAATCATCCTTGTTCTCAAGATCAATCGAAATACCTTCACAGACCCTATCTCTCATCTCTTCCAGTTTCATCGTACTAGGACACTTGTCAAGTAAGCTCCACGGCGCTATGCAGTCATAGTTACACGACTCGCGCGCCATCTTCCGGAAAACAGCTTGCATGCCCCCGTACGATTTCAGAGACTTTACGTCGCGAATCTTGCCTGCTGGCCCGGGCTGTCTGGAGAAGTGAAGGAGGCGACCGGCCAGGCCCGCCGCGATGCTTGTGGAATACGATGTCCCTGTTACCAGGGTGTTCTCGGTGGACAGGTAGATGCTCTCGCCGAGGATGGCAAAGTTGTAGTGCTTCGGGTGGTGCGCTGGGTTGATGCTGGCGACGAGGTTGGCGATTTTAGCGTTGCCGTCGGTGGAGTACATGCAGAAGACGTGGCGGCGCATGCGCGCAGGGTAGGTAACAAGGAACATGTTGCCGTAGTTGGAGGCTGCAGCGAAAATGAGGGTGCCGGCGCGGCTGGCGTCCAGGATGGCGGACCGGAGGGGCGGGTGATCGTCCCGGAAGCCGGAGGCGATGGAGATAATGTCGGCTTTGACGTCTTGGACGGCCCAGCGGATTGCCTAATTGGGAGGTTGTTGTTAGTGAGGTACTTTAGTTGCAGTGAAGGCGTTCTTCAGTATTAGTTGCTTACCTCTGCCATGAGGTCTCGGGTGTTTTTGGCTGTGTTGCCGTCGGGATCGAAAACTTCGTCATTCGTCTGAAAGACCCGCCCAACGTAAATGTGGGCTTTTTCAAAGACTTTGAACATGAGTTCGACTGCTCTGGTCCCGTGCCCTGTCTCGTCTGTCTTGACGGTGTCGTTATTAGAGACAAAGTCTTTATATCCTTTTACGGCTCTTGCGAACCGACCGCGGACGCCGGTGTCGAGGATCACGACTTTGACTATTGGCGTCGAAGGGCTGTCTGCTGAAGGGTCATCTAAAACCGTGTTGAGTCTAGACATCTCGCCGAACCACTTCTCGGAACTCGGCGTCCTTGTTAGCGTGTTTTCTTGTTAGCGTGAAGCATTGCTGGTTTGGTTCTGAGGTCCGAACTTGAGTAGAGATGAAGCAGAAGATGACGAAACGTGGCATACCCTGAATCCATTGTCGTTCCAGCAACGATTGATTTGGTCTGCTTGAGGTGCTCGACACTTGCACTGGTCACTGGCTGCTCATGGCTTCCGACAAGAACAGAACTGTCAAATCGAGACTTCAGTGTAGACGGCTTTCAGATCTCCATGAAACAAAAAACCTAAAAACGTACATGACTGGCACGGAATTCCCCGGCACCGTTGGCCGATGGAGGACAATTGCATCTGGGTTTCTGTACTGCGCTGTGACCAACTCCACAATGGGGTCTATCACGCTGCGATATACAGCTGTGCGAGAGCCGCTAATTGGGTCATTGTAATACATTTGTAGCTCGTCGGGCACCACGCAAGCCCGAACGACCTCCTCCACTATGAGGAGAACATCGTAGTGGAGACCGTCACCTGCCATGCGATCTTTGTCGTTAATAAGCGTTCGTGCGGTATAGACGTCCTGATAATGTCCGTCTTCCATTTTGATTTCGTCGTATTCCTCGAGGTTCATGGCTCTCGCTCTCATAGACATGCCCATCTCGAGCTCCAGCAGCATGACGCCAAAAGCCTCGATCGCTCGGGCTTGCTCTGTTGCCGAGGGGCTGCTATCTGACATGGACACAGAAACGGACTCTCTTGGGCTGAAGCGCGCCGAAACGAAGGGCTCATTGAGAAACACGCCCGTCTTTCCCTGGCGGTGCTCGACGAGAAAGTGCACGTTATCGATGGTCCACGGTATTCGCATCCACTGGGTGCCGTAAAACTGCCATAACGCCTTGGCTAGCAAGAACATGAGCACGTACCTCGCCGCCTTCTCGACTTTGTAATTATTTTCCAATATTGTCCTGAGCGAGATACTGGGTTGTGTTGTGATCCAGAGCTTTGGGCGGTGGTTGTCGTCTGCAAGGCTGAGGAAGTTGTCATTCAGAACGAGATTTAGTGGCGATCGTTTTTCGAAGCAAACCAAGGGGCAGAACTGGTCGTGATTGATCATTCTGGTTGTTTGGTT